TGCTGCAATGAAAAAACATACTTTAATATGCTCATTTTGGTTAATTTAAGGCTAATTCACTATTGCTCTTTCTGCACTGGTGAAAACACAGGTCAGCAGTATCGCAGAAATGCTTAGATGGCATCAAAATGATCTTGGACCTTGTTGGGCCATACATCAAGAGGATGGATACTCTGGTCACAACAGCAACAACTTGCATCTATATTGCACCCTTCACGCAGGATAGTCTCGGAGCGTCTCAGTCCTCTTAGCTATGTAAAGCACTTTGAGACATCCTGATGTGAAAGACGCTATATAATTGTAAATTGATCTATATTGTCTCTGCTATTGTAATATTGAATCGATCACAATGAGAGTCATGAGAGTACTCATCTTCAGATCTTCTTTATCTACCTGGCCTCCAACTGAATAGGGACTTCATTGGTGTGTCTCATATATCACCACTCCTCAGCAGGTCCATGTTCCAAAGCAATACACTACTGGAGAGCCTTCTCGTTACAATTGTTTAATGTCTGATCACCTTTTCCATCATTGCTGTATTACAATATGCCTTTTGTTTTGCATCTGAGTGCATTAGGGTTGACAATCCCCTAGCCACACATCACAAAGCTTTGGCATACAACAATACCATGGCGGTGAGATCTTCCAATCGCAAGACTTTGCCAGCTTTAGCCTGAATCGCCTGGAGCAGACAATGAAGTAACAATTACAGCACTTTAGTTATACCAGAAAAGTATAAACTAGACGTTACTCATGCACAGCCAGCAGGGTTTAACTTGCGAGTTCTGTAAACTATGTGACCACAAAGAAAAATCAATTCTCTAAATTCTTTTCTTTGATTGTGAATTAAAGATGTTTGTTTAATTGGAGTGACTGTTTTTGTAAACAACCATTTGCACAAGTAAATATGCCCAATTAATGTGGGATTTTGTTAACCAGAACACCGAGAGAAACTCGTTCACTTGAATAGGCTATAGGTTACCAAACTGGCCATTCCGAAACCTCACAGATGCTCACAGAGACCAGAATCTTGAGGAGCTGCCCTTCACCAAGGATATCATGGAGAAAACCACTTTTCCTAACAAGGGGCCCCTGGTGATAACACTTTTTACATTTCTCTATTCCGAATAACAATCGTACATTCCCACCTGCTGGTTCCAATTCTTGAAACAACTTTCAAGAGTTGCAGATTTCCATAAATACCGTACAACTAAAGTGTTTTCACAAGCCTCTTATGCAGCACTTCATCATGTACCTTTTATCTATTCACTTGGTTATGTCATCAAAAAACTCTACTAGATTTGCCAAGCATTTAACAAATCCATGCTGACCACCTTTAATCAACTCATGCCTTTCAAGTGATTGTTAATAATGTCCTGTACTATGCCCTCTAAATGTTTGCTCACTATGGATGTTATTAATAAACCTATAATAATAATAATCCTTGCATTTCATATAGCACTTTTTTACATCATCAAGACATCTCAAAGCACTTCATAGGATATACATTAAAGTGCTTACACATGCATCAGAAGGCAGTATGAAATAGGTAAAAATAGTGGACTAGGGTGAATTAGGATGAATGGCTGACGTGTAACACTCTCCTCAAGTGGTTCTTTGAAACATCCAGGAACACAACAATTATGTGCAATTGATATCAATAGTGGAAGCAAAGCTGGGACCACAACTAGAATTTTTAAGTATCCAAAAAGAATAGGTTTGTTGGACCTAACGATATTTTGATTTCTTAAAAATTCTTACGTTTGCTCTGATGCATGTGGTGGCTTCTGGGTGCACTTTAGAATAAGATACCTCTTTCCTGCCATGAAAGGGAGAGCATTCTTTTTTTTACAGCAGTTTGTCTTGTAAAACTGGCCCATCTCCTCCCAGGTTAACAAAGGGGTACTTTAGCAGCTTTGTTGAGGATCTGAAACTAAACCTGTTCAGGAAGGAAAATATTTCTGGCCACAGGCCAAACACTTAGCCCATAGAAATTAACTGTAAATTGTTACTGCAGAAGGCTGTCTATCACTTTGAGTGTAAGTTCAATCATCAATGAGTAACCGTCTACAGACTGGGTCTATGAAACCTGCCGGTGTACAATACTGGACTGGTGCATATGATATGTAGCAATCTGCATCTGGAAAGTAACCTGGGAGTATCCTTTTCTTCCCATGCATCCAAACATATGGATTCCTACTTGGGGGAGCAGGGTTCTATCCCCAGAGTGGTGACTTTGTCTGCATTTGGAAAACTACTGAGGATTCTGTTACAGAGTAGTAATGAGTACTTCCTGAGGGGTCTGGAACAATCACTGAGACCATGGTCTGTTTATCTTCCCCCACACCACTTGTGATGGGCCACAACAGAAATGGCAAGACCAAGAACCCAATAAGGCAGCTGTTGTATTTTATATGAAATAGAATTGTAAAAATCCTTACTTTTGATATAATGCCTTTCATGTTGGGAGAACCACTCAAAGTTCTTCACAGGATACACTTTAAAGTGCAGTGCCCTGTGTATTTAGTTTCACCCACAAAATACCCAGTCAATCCACTTTACAGTATATCCTGTGAAGCGCTTTGAGATATCTCGATGACCTGATAAGGCACTATGTCAAATGCAAGTATTATTATTATTTCGTAGCCGAATGCAACAGCAAATTTGCGCACATATCCCCACAAGCAGCCATGAAGTGAACAACCAATGTTATTTGGGGAAATATTGTTTTTTGATTAGTGCCATGAGATATGTAACGTTCACCTGAACAGGCATTTCCGACCTTGTTTTAACGTTTCATTCAAAGGATGGAACCTCCAGCAATCAGCATAACCCCAGCACTCTAGTGGAGTGTCATTACAGACTGAGTTCAAAATCTCAATCTTCTGCCTCAGAGACGAAAGTGCTACCAACTGAACTAAACTAACACATGAAGACTGATTTGAAGCCTGAATAAGATTCTCAAGAAAGTAAAAATTTGAGATAGGATGCAACTTGAGCATTAGTCAACTTATAATTCTTGTTCACCAACTTCAATAATCCTGCCACCCCACTCCTCACTCATGCAATTTACCAAAACATTTGAGGGGAGTCAATAAAAGCAATAGCTCAGAAGGTCAATGTTAATTAGTCCAACCTTTAAAACTTCTGTAAGAATATTAAGTGTCAGTAATAATGCATGCTAAAATTGAGTACCTGTGGTTTCTGAAATTTAAATATAAACACTAGCTAACTGTCATTTAATAGCTGTAAAGTAATGAAGAGAATGCTTACTTGTCTACCAAACTGCCTGAGCATCAGTCAGTCAAAGGATTTTGAGACAATGTAAACAATCATTAAGCACCATTCATAAAAGAGTGATGCAACAACCATACGCACACCAATAAGGGATGCCTGATATTCATATTAACCTTTCAATTGATAAATCTTACCAGTGTGGTATTTTGCTTTTATCTGAGGAGTTTCAGCTAAATACAGCTAACACAGATGTAAAAATAAGAAAATGAAGAGTAGCCCAGAGGCAAGGTTTACACATTTTGTGGGTAAAAGTGGGTGAAAGAGGGGGAAGAATGATTGGAAGTTTTAAACTTTGTAAGCCTGTCACCAAGCCTTCCTCCATTATATGTGGTAGATGGAAGATAGCAAATGCTTAAAAATGACTTTCGTCATACTGGTGCCTTGTTTTTTCTGAAAATTCAACAACTTGCACTTCTATAGTGTCCTCCACGCAGGGTAGCGTTTCAGAGCGCTTAACAGTGATGGAGCCTGACTCCAAGCCAGCGGGAGGGAGAAGTGGCCGTAAGCACGGTCGAGAGGAAGATTTTCAGGTAGGACTTGAAAAAGGGGAAAGTGGGGGCAAGGCGGAGGGACTGAGGGAGAGTGTTCCAGAGTTTCGGGGCATAGTAGCTGAAAGCATGAGCTCAAATGGTGAAGCAAACGGTGCCAGGGACAAGCAGGAGGCCGGTGCCAGTCGAGCGGAGGCGCCGGGTGGTGAATTGGGAAGTGAGGAGGTCGTAGAGGTAGGGAGGTGCCAGAGAGTGAAGGGATTTGAACACGAGAATGAGGATCTTGGAAGTCACTCAGTTCAGTGATGGGGAGCCAGTGGAGTCTGGCCATAACTGGTGAGATGTGGGTACGGAGTTTGCTCTGGGTCAGTATGTGGGCAGCAGAGTTCTGAATGAACTGGATTTTTTGAATAGTGGAGCTGTCGAGTGCACTTGAGTAATCCAAGCAGGAGGTGACAAACAAACAGATTCCTGCCTCCCTTAAAAGAGACAAATTACACTTTAATTCAATTGCCTCAAAGATTGTGTAATTTTAAAGTCACGACAGTAGTCATACTACTGTCACCACATAGTGTGGTGCACGTTTCTAAGGTTGATGCAGAGAATGTTTAACATTATTGAACAGGAGTTAACCAATAAAGTCTGACTGACTGGATTGATGGATTGCATGGCAGAGTCATCGTTTCAAAATTATTTTACACAAAAGTTATTGACTGCATATATGATTATCTCTATTAAATGTAAATATAATACTGTAATTTTTTGCATTTCATGTAACAACTATAAGATCTCAAAGTGCTTCACAAACTTTTGAAAAGTGTATTCAACAACAACAAATGCCACTTCTTTAGCACCTTTCACGTCAGAAAGACATCAGGGCACTGGTATTCATAAGCAAACGAGACATTCAATTTGCACACAGCAAGCCACAAAGTGAATGGCAGTCATATTAGCAATTATAGTCAAATGAGCTCAGTCTGGCACTTTAGTGCAGTGTTGGGGAGCGTTGTATTATCAGAGGTTCTATCCTTTTGGGTGAGGCGTTAAACCAAGGTTCCATCTGTCTGTTTAGGAGGACATTATATATCACTCCACAATATTTATTAATGTTGATATGAATTGTATTTATTCACAGCGAAGAAAGTACACATTGTTATAACAGAATACATTGTTATATCCACCAGCACTAAGTATATTTGATGGCTACTTCAATACCTTAAGGTGCGTAAATCCCACAATTTGATGCCATCTGTGACAGCAGTCGTCAGGAAGAGATTATAGGCTTCTGAAGGCTGAGTACTAAATGCTGAGCCCTAAAGCAAAGAGAAATTAACACAGATTATCATATTAAAGTTAAAAGACAGTATCCAAATAGTACAGCGTGAAGAAGCCAAGTTCAATTGAATAACATATAATTTCCTTGGCTAAAAGTAATTTCAATAATATTAGAAAAAAGTAGACCATTTTGTTAAACTATGATAAGACTAAGACAATGCTTCCTGTAAAAAAAAGTTTGTGTTGAAATAATACTCCTTTTATACTACTGGAAACAATCCAATTTGTTTCTGGCAATAAAACAATTCAGAGCAGACAACAAGATTTCTATTTCCTTCTAAGATTTGTTCTCAGCTAGGGCAAAGGAGAACTCTGCATGCAACAACAATAATAATTTATATTTATGAAGCATCTTTTATGTCAGGAGGGTATTTTAAAGTGCTCCACACAATTGACTGGGGGCCTGAGCTTAGGGAGTTGGTGGAGGGGGAGAGGGGTGGTCAAAACTGCTGTCAAAAAGATAAGATCTTAAGCAGGGTTTTCATGGCAGAGATGGAGGGACAATGTGGATCAAGTTCCAGAAAGCAGGGGGCAGAATAGCTGAAACATTACCCATTGATGGTGAGGTGGATCAGGAAGTAGGATGGTTAAACTGCATAGCAAACTGTATATGCACAGAATTATGCTACTTAAAGAGATAATCATGTAACCAGCTGTTAATAAACATTCTAAAAGGTACATTTAGGTTTGTTACATTTAACTTTTGGGGGGATTAGCCGCGGTATAAACTGTATATAACTGAAACCATTTTCCCAGATGGGATTCAGGAGCAGGGTACCAAGTAGAATTGATCCCCTTAAATCTCTTCTCCAGTATCAAAGTCATTTCCAGATGAACAAAAAAGTCTGATCGACATTAGAAGTACAAATGTCCAAGAGAAGACTGAAGGAGTAGTGGTAGATGTTATATAGTAATACTTCCCTTCCCTTACAGATTAAATAATACCAGTAATCCTTGCTTTTGATATATTGCAGTTCATGGACGGGAGGATGTCTCAAAATTCTTTACAGGATACACTGTAAAGAGTAGCGATTGTATTTGTAAGCAAACGTGACAGCCAATTTGCACACAGCAATGTCCCACAAACAGCCATGAAGTGTGTAACCAATGTTATTTCAGGGTTGCTGGCCGAGACATTGGGAGAAATTCTCTTCTCTTTTTGAATCAGATGTTGTTATTGTGATAAAATGGAGCTGGAACATCATTCAAGTCTTTAAAATCCTGAGCAACAAGGATAATGTTAATGAAGGCAAGCTATGTTGTTTGAGTTGTGAGAATGTAACGGAAGAACAAAGCACAAAATTAACAAGCCTCAAGTGAGAACGGAACAGAAAATTAAGGTCATGGTTTTCAAATCAAAATTGTAGCATGGATAGGAATTGGCTGAGGGACAGAAAGCAGAAAGTAGTAATAAGTGGATTTTTTTTGAATTGGCAAGATGCATATTGTTCATAAACCTTTGAGCAGCCTGAAAAGTTCTCATTTGATGGCTACCCCACTTTCCAAGCCACATTTCTGTCAATTCTCAGTGGTTGGTCTTGGGACACATACTATTTTCAAAATGTAAAAAACTTGCACATTTGTAACGTAAGGAAGCTCTCCAAGTTTGCGCCAGAGAAGAGGCAGAGCACAGGATGAGGGAGAATAAAATATAAATAATCTTTGCAATTAATATAGGGCCCTTCACTTTGGGAGAATGTCTCAAAACATTCCACAGGATTCACTGAAAAGTGTTGTGATTGTGTATTTTCGAGGTGAATGTTTGCAATTAGTGTTTGAATTTTTTCAGGCAGTTGGGTTCATAGTTGGAGGATAAAGTTTAAAGAGGATAATTGGAAAATAAATATTGTGGGAGCAAACAACCAAAAAAGGGAATACGTATTAACAACAACAACAACAACAAGATTCCATTTATAAAGCGCCTTTCACGTCAGGAGGACGTCCCAAGGCGCTGCACAGTTGGGTCAGGACCCGAGCAGGGGGGAAATGGTCAGGGTGAAGGGAGGGAGCGAGGAGGGGGAAGAGAGTCGAGAGGGGAGCTGAAGGCTCGGTCAAAGAGAAAGGTTTTGAGACTGGCCTTGAAGGAGGAGAGGGAGGAAGCGGCGAAGGCACTGGGGGATGGAGTTCCAGAGCCTGGGGGCTGAGAGGCTGAAGGCCCGACCACCGATGGTAGGGCGGTTGGGGCGGGGGACGTGGAGCAGACCGGAGCCGGAGGAACGGAGGGTACGGGCAGGTAGGTAGGGGGATAGTAGGTTGGAGAGGTAGGAGGGAGCGAGGCCGTGAATGGCCTTGTAGGTGAGGATGAGGATCTTGAAATCAATCCTCTGGGGGATGGGGAGCCAGTGGAGGCGAGCGAGGGTGGGAGTGATGTGGTCCCGAAGCCTGGTGCGGGACAGTACACGAGCTGCAGAGTTCTGAATGACCTGCAGCTTGTGGAGGGAGGTGGCGGGAAGGCCGGCGAGGAGAGAGTTCCCATAGTCCAGCCTTGAGGTGACAAAGGCGTGAACCAGGGTTTCAGCAGCGTGAGGGGTGAGGTAGTGCCATAGTCTGGCGATGTTCCGGAGGTGATGGAAGGCGGTGCCAGTTGTGGTGTGGATGTGAGGGAGAAAGGACAGCTCAGGGTCGAACAAAACGCCGAGGTTTCTGACTGGCTTTGAGAGGTGGAGAATGCAGCCTTGGATGCTGATTAAAATAGAACAATGCTTTAAGCTTATGTTCTTATTATAACTCTGTTGCCAGCATAGGTCCAAAAAGCAATATTTTGGAGTGGTGGTTAGCAAAAATTCCTTCGATGAGCTCCCAATCTCAGCTGTCTCTTTGTGAAAAAGGTGCAGAGTGAAGGACATACATTCTTTTGGGTCAGTCTGATGTCTGATTCATGAGCAAACCCATCAACATGAATAAGAGTATCCAAACCAAACTAAGAGGTTCACATGATTGTGCCGCCTTCACATGGACATGCATCGAACGCACACTCTCTTCCTAGAGGAATGCACCTCGAAACCGGGTCATCTCCAAGGGGATCCCACTTACCTCTCCCCCCCACCCTCTCCCTCAAGCTGGTGAAGCATAAACATTAAGGTCTGCCACAGGTTGATTGCTAAAAAAAACACACATATCTTTAGATTACTGTTTTCAACAAAAGATTACCGTTATTAGCGAATGACATACAATTTCTTATTGGCAGGAAGGAAAAGTCAGAGGGCAAATCTCCCAGTGCAATTTTCTATTTAGGCAACGGAGCACGTCATTTGACTGCTTGCTTGGCCAAGAATATTCCATGATGTGTAGTGAACAAAATATTGATATTCCATCTAGTCTTAGTCTACAAGACCATTTTACTCTAACATTTAATGATTACGCAGAACTGAAGAAAATTCTTGAATTATGATTCAATTTAGAAGCTGGTTCTTGTTAAGACCCAAAAGAAAAAAGGTTCTAAATTAAAAATTAATTGAAGAATTGTCATTTTTAAGGCAAAGCACCTTGCAGTTGAAGACAAGGTGCAATCTCAGGCTATAAAAAAACAATATTTCAAAAAATAAACATACATAGAATGATGAAAGAAATTTGGCCTAATGAGCCTTGTCCCACAGACTACCCAAAATATTCTATCATGGACTCCACCCCACCTATTCCAACTCCAGGAGAGTTCTGCATAGAAGCTCTCCCTGATCACAAAACATAGTCAAGTAAATCTCCTATGAAAATTGGTGTAATTCCTAGTCCTAGAATTTCTATTTATCAAGCCGATTTTCTATTCACGTATAGTCTCTTTATTATAATGGAGGCAAATATTTGTAACAGTAGATTTAAGTAATGAATGTGAAAATGTTGGTCTATCTGGGTATTTAACACACTGATAGTTGATTTACTAAACAGTTCACTAACGTGTGCCTTCATGCTGCCTGTATATTTGCATATTTAAGCCTGTTGCTGAGTGCATAGGAATCTTTGTTTTATAGCTAATGTCATTCATGGGAAATTGCTTGACATTAAAAAAAATCAGATTTAATATTTCCTCATAAGTCACTTGGTTCCTAGCTTGTTATCTAGAAATGCATGATATTTATGGCATCACATATTTGGCCATATAAGATCTAGGTCATGTTACTGAAACATAGATAAGGCCCGACAAATTCTTAAGACACAGCAAGCACAATGCAAAGATATTTTCGAAGCAAGATTGTTATCAGTATGATTACTTTGCCTCCAGATATGTTTTAATAATTAGCAGTCCCATTCACATCTTAAAGCATAAGCACCCTCCATTAAATAATTAAGCTGAAATTCCCAGCATCCTGTGTGAGCACGAATACTTAACATCCACTGTTATCCATGTCATCTGTTCTTTTGGCTCAGAATGCAATTAGTTCATCTTCAACCTTCCAACCTTCCAAGAAGCATTTTTCCCTTCTATTCTGTCACCCACAGTATAAGAAAACTTAAAATAAAGAAAATCACAAACATGCCAGTAAGGTAATTACACTTGCAGCTGAAGATCTCTGCAACCACAACAACCTAAGCCAAATAGACACTTAATGCACACGGAGATGGATCATTCATGAAACTTGGTTTATCATGAAACAGGAGGGAAGGAGGGAGGGAAGGGGCTCCAGCGCCTCTGCTAGTACAGACAAAACTAGCCTGGAGGTGGGCAGGGCATGGGTTCTCAATTTGACTGTCTACACCCCTTCTTACGACTTGATCTCATTCATGATTCTCCACCCACCCAGGCACAAGCCTGTATGGTCTTATGGCCACACTCAACAGCTTCTCTCAACAGCCCAAGCCTACCATGTGTTAAATGGGTTAAAAAAGTAAACCCAGAACAATACTTTAGGATACACCAAGATAGTAGACAGGACGATATAATTAAGAGTTGCAAATGGCAATTTCAAGGCTGATACCAGAAGTTTCTCATTACTTGGAGGGTAATTAATGATCGGAACAGGTTGTTGGGAAGGAAGGCTAATAC